ATTGCTAGGGAGAGGGACGAAATTCCCAGCATAATCAGGAGAGACGTCCCATGTATCTGCACCAAAATGTTGGGATGAACTGACTCACTTTCTATGTATTCATTCAGTAAATTTGCTCCATTATATATCTGCTTGAAGAGCTCTCCAATGGAACCTCATTAAAACTCCTCAGAACTTTTGGAAGGTCATATCTTGCAGCAACTAGATACTGCAGGTGAATTGCAACCTGTTGGTAATGGCATCTGGGGCAACATCTGGTCCTCTTTCTGTTTTGTTCTTCTGCATCTTCACTTTTAGCTACACCTAATATATACATTTCTCATTGCCCATCAGGAACAAAAAGTCTTTAGGTAATTTGCTGTTGCCTCTTATGATGAAAGCTCAATTCAGTCCTCCGTAAGTACACCATTAGTTAAAACAGACTACATCACCTTCCTGTTACTAAGCAAAGGAAGGCTAACTATATATAATTTGCCTTTTCTTCTTAACAATAATTGCTTACGCTGGAGGTTCACCTACCTGGGGAAGCATAGCTTTACCCTACCAGCAAGGCAAACATAAACTTCCCCCTTAACCTAAATCCACTTTGGCCCTGCTAGGCTTTTGCCCCTCACGACACTTTAATCCAACTCATTTGCTTGATTCATCCCAGCTATAAACAAGCTTTTGAAACGAAAGCTTAAAAGACTAGTTGTGATACATTAAGATAATCATGAAGGAACTCCCCACAGGAGTTTAAGAAGGCCACCCAAAATATGTCTTACTATATTGCTCACCTCCTGATTGTGCGGGAAAACTTACAACTTCTCCCACTTCAGCTTTCATCCTGAGTCTTTTTCACAGGTCCTCTGAATTCAGCAAGGCATATCTCTTTATTATTTTTAATCGGTTTGGATTAGCTTCATTCCTGGCGGATGCGCTAGGGATGTTTCTGAATGCACTCAGATTGTGAACAGAACCAAGTAAATAGGAGGCACCCACTAAATTCTTTATTTCATCAGCTCCTTAATTATCCCCAGCCCAGATTCCAGTGGTGATGTCTGTTGTGCAGATGTGAAAGCTGGCAATCCCGAAATGATTTAAATAAAAGCATTTACATTGAAACAATATAAAGTCCATTAATTAAGTATGAATACGACAATTAAGTGCTTTGTGAACTTTAGTCTTAACTTGTTGATCTCTGTGGTAAGAACTGTTTAAGAAGCAGTAACATATTGCCAATAAGGCTCCTGGTTACTATGTTGGTTTTGGATGTGTGTGTGTGTGTGTGTGTATGTGTGTGTATCTCTCTCTCTCTCTGTGTGTGTGTGTGTGTGTGTGTGTGTGTATACACACACACTCCCAAAACCAAATCCAAAAGGCAGGTGGCGCTATGGTCTAAACCACTGAGCCTCTTGAGCTCTTGAGAAGGTCGACTGTTCGAATCCCCATGATGGGGTGAGCTCCTGTTGCTCAGTCCCAGCTCCTGCCAACCTAGCAGTTTGAAAGCATGCCAGTGCAAGTAGATAAATAGGTTCCACTCCGGCAGGAAGGTAAATGGTGTTTCCATGCGCTGCTCTGGTTTCGGTGTTCTGTTGTGCCAAAAGCGGCTTAGTCATGCTGGCCACATGACCTGGAAAAACTGTCTACGGACAAATGCTGACTCTCTCGGCCTGTAAAGCGAGATGAGCACCGCAACCCCAGAGTCGTCTGCGACTGGACTTAACTGTCAGGGGTCCTTTAAAGGTAAAGGTAAAGGTACCCCTGCCCGTACGGGCCAGTCTTGACAGACTCTAGGGTTGTGCGCCCATCTCACTCAAGAGGCCGAGGGCCAGCGCTGTCCGGAGACACTTCCGGGTCACGTGGCCAGCGTGACAAAGCTGCATCTGGCGAGCCAGCGCAGCACACGGAACACCGTTTACCTTCCCGCTGTAAGCGGTCCCTATTTATCTACTTGCACCCGGGGTGCTTTCGAACTGCTAGGTTGGCAGGCGCTGGGACCGAGCAACGGGAGCGCACCCCGCCGCGGGGATTCGAACCGCCGACCTTTCGATCGGCAAGCCCTAGGCGCTGAGGCTTTACCCACAGCGCCACCTGCGTCCCTCAGGGGTCCTTTACCTTACCTTTATATGTATGTATAGGGTGTTTGAAATTCCCCAGGCGCATTTTGCCACTGGCGCAGGTCCAGTTGCGACTTTGTGGAGATTTCTGGGCCTCAGGTTGGCAACCACAGTTAAAAAACCTCTGCCTTAGTCCATTGTTAAAGCCATTTCCAATTCCACTGTATGTATTTCTCCTTCTTGCCTACTGAGACAAGTGATTTGTTGCAAGAGCAAGCTACAGCCAAGCAATGTAGTTGAGATCATAGAATCATAGAATTGTGGTGTTGAGAGGGACCCCAAGGGTCATCTAGTTAAACTCCCTAGCAAATAGAATAGACATTTCATAGTGGCAACTGTAACCTAGGTTTAAGGTGCTCATTTGGTGCCTAACTTATATATCTGAGTTTCTACACTGTGTGTGTGTGTGTGTGTGTGTGTGTGTGTGTGTGTGTGTGCACGTGCAGGTGGGTAGATAGATAGTACTACAGTCATCAGGGCTAAGTGAAGCTTTGGAAAATAAATGCTGCAACATTCCACATCAGGCTATGCTTGAAAATGCTAAGAGCCTATGAAGACAACTTTAAGTGCGCAAAGGAGGAGCCAGCTAAAGAACACCAGAGAGCGATAATGCACCTCTTCAGACAACCAGAGCCCTGCTGGCTCCAGGCACACTTCAACGGAAACCAAAGACTGCAGAGATCTTCAAGAGTCTTCTGAGAAGTTTCCCAGGCAGATCAAGCTTTCTTCTGACTGCCAGGGAACTGAAAAAGGCTTGAATAGCTCAAGCACCATTTCCCAAAGACAGAGATAGGTACGTTTCACTGGTCTTAATGACACTGCCTAGCGAGAACTGTATCAAATGCATCACAGTCTCCCAAAATGTCATAAATGTATATTTATCTGAGCTAGAGACAAAGGGGCCCAGCTAAAGATTAAATTTTGCTAGTGGATATGCTAACCTTCTGGCCATTTTCCTTAGGTGAAAAAGCTCATCTGTTCTCCCAACAGCAGGTCAAAAATGAAGAAATGAAAGTTACTATTCTGACTTATCTTCCTCCCATATGTTTAAACCATTACAACAATGCTACAGTTTGCTCAGGCTAATGACTCTTAAAGGGAAGTGGGCAACTGCTTCCCACTTAGATCTTCACACAATCCCACTGGCCAGAGGAGTAAGCAAGTCTGGACCAAGATGAGTAACCAAGGACTGAAGGAGAACTCTTCTGATCAAGATGCACATGCTGTCATGCATTCACAGAAGCGGAAAGCATGCACTATATAGTTTAGAAACGCAGTAAAAACATTATACTGTAAACATAAGACTTGATTTTTAAGAGTTTTTTGCTTTTTCTTGTAAAATGAAAATTATAAATAATCTGTTTCAAAAAAAGAAAGCATGCACTATTGCTTTCTAACAGGAGCCTAACATTCCAGGGCACCCCAGCCCTGCATATGCTATGCTCCACTATTTCAAAATGCAAAACAAAAGCCAAAAAGCTTCCAGAACAATTGACAGAAGTCCAGATTTGTGCTCCATTGACAATCCTTTTGATCTGACCATACATTTGGCTCTTCCTTTCAATACTTTGCAAGGCACAGGAAGGAAGGATCACACCTTGCTGACAGGTCACGCGATCATCCAGTATCAACTGAAGGGGATACACTATAGGGGAATTTTGATGCACTGAAATTAATGGATGTGAAAATTCTGTATCCAAGTATTGCAATTTCACTGAGGCGGCAATCCTAAACCCACTTCCAAGGGAGAAAGCACCACTCTGAATTTAAAGGGCTAACTTCTGAGTAGTGATATATAGGATTGAGCTGGCAATTATTTATTTACATCTTTTGCCAAAATTATTTTACCCAATTTTATTTTATTTTACAGATTATGGACAGCCCTGTGCCATGCCTATTTCCTCAGAATTTAGCAATACTTGCCCTCAGGCTGTCACTGCAAACTTGCTTGTCCTGTGGAACTTAGTCAGACACATAGATGTGTACTAGATCAAGCAATTGACCTCAAAGCCTTTGCCAGATTGCAACTCTGTATAAAACAGAGTGCAAGACTTGGTGTAACAGGACAGGGTTGCTGTGTTGCAGAAGCAATTGTAGCTTAGACTATTTGGTTACTCTAGCTGGATCTTCTAAGCATAGCCTTCCAAGCGCAGAACTTTCTGAATAAGCCCAAATAAGGTTGCTGGACACAACTGCCTTTTAGATCATTTCAGCAAATGAAACAGTGAAGTACTTAATACTTCTCTTTCCCCTAACGGAGACCACTCACTGATTTGACATACAAGACATGGGACATGATTAAAAAAACCAAAAACGCTTAAAACTCACTGATTTCAATGAGAGAAAGCTAAGCACACACTTAACTATCCATAACCGTCAATGAGACTCTACTGCAGAGCTTTCCAAACTTTTCACATTGGTGACAAACTTTTTAGACAGGTATCATTTCGCGACACAGTAATTCAGTTTTAGTAGCAAACCGGAAGTTAAACTGACCCCTTTCCAGCCATTGGAAGAGTACGGGGAGTATTTGTACAACACGGCAACACACATGTCGCGACACACGGTTTGGATAGCTCTGCTGTACTGTGCATCAGCGTGAGTAATCCCCTGTAGTGCAGGAAGCTCTGCATGTATACTATCACGTGCAAATGCTTCCTTATGACCTGCCATCCCTGATCATGAAAAACTCCACTGTTACCAGGGTTCATGCACTTCAAAGGAAGACTAAGGAGCTAAGTGACTCCCCTGTTGACAAATAGGGGAGCAAAAACACACAGGTAAAGCTCATGTCACAAACAAGATTTGAAAAGCTTAAGAATTGTTCTTCCTTTCTTTTCCTTTTAAATAATCAATCATCTATTCAAGAGGCATATTCAAAACAGGACCAGCACACTTAAGCATGTCTAAAATGAGTATTTAATTTTTTTCCTAAGTTAGAAAAATATAAATTTCTCCTACTTACAAAAAGGATTGCTTAATTTAATAAGCAGGACTAATTGTCACTGAAGTGTTAAAACTTGTACCTAGAACGTACCACTTCTCTACTGCAGGTAAGGAATGCTTCTCCATACAAAACAAAATATGTGCCAGGGAAGAAGGGTCCTAACCTTGCCTTCTTCCAAACATGCCACCTTCCTATGTGCAGGGATTGACTGATTTATGGTACATGGTTGCATCATATGAGACCTCACCAGCAGTATGATGTGGAACGGACCAGATAAAGGTTTATCATCTCAATGAGAACCAGGCTTTAAATGTATTAAATATTAATATTGAAATACTTAATGCTACTAATTCTTTAAGCATCACCAATGAATCAACAGTCCATTTAAGAGTTCAGATTTCAATCAATATAGGCTTTGATCCCAAATATATTTGCAATCTTTGACTGAAATCAGTGGAATCAATAGTATCCTAATTATTTTAATGAAACCGACTTTTTAAATGACACATTTTTATGACTGCATCTAAATATGCTTAAATCAAAATACACTTAACTAAGTTATGAACTGAGATATTTGGTTATAGGTTATCAAGAAATCCCACATCCTGGGATATTTAAATGCATTATACATGCAAAGCACTACCGTGCATTATTCAGAAGGCATTCTTGTTCATTATGCAATATGCACTACAAACTATGCTAATGCTATATATGCAATATGCACTATATACACTGTACATTTCATATGCAGCATGACATGTTGGTGTTGTAACATGATACAGTAGCCTAGCGAGCAACACTGCATAATACATGCATCGTGCGGCGTGATGACGATTGTCCATTACCTGCACGTTATGAAACATTACTGACGGGGAAAGCAAACCACTTTCATACGTAATGTATGGTAAAAAATGGAACTGTTATACATTTGAAATGTACTATACACTGCCTACGCAGTGATAAGGAGACACACAGGAAGTAAAAATGGTATGTCGTTGGCCCAACCCGTTGTGTAAAACTTGCCAGCTTTGAAAACTAGGCAGCTGTTTGTCAAGTGCAATTATTCACTGCCAGAATAAAGTAACATACAATCATATAATTGTAGAGCTGGAAGGACTCTAAGGGTCATCTTGTCCAATCTCCTGCAATGCAGGAATGCCATCATCCAATCTGAAACCATACCGGACTTAGCTTTGCAAATGGGCTAGCAGTTTTATTGCTGCGCCACTAGGTGGTCCGTAAAACCAAATGAGGCGCTACATACCAGCACATTACTACTGGCTCTTGGTATCTCCAAGACAGTGCAGTGTTTAGAAGATATAGCATTGTAGTTGACTGGAGGAAAGCTGGGATCAAAGCATCACTCAGACACGAAGCTCACCAGGTGACATTCAGTCAGTCACTGTCTCTCAGCCTAACTTTATCTCACACCAGTTATTGGGTGGATATAATGGAATTCTATCTGACAAGGGTGGGGAAGCTGCCACCTTCCAGGTGTTATTGGACTACAACGGCCAGGATGGCAAGGGGTGATGGGAGCTGGTGCCTAATGACACCTGGAGAGTCACTGGTTCCCCATCACTGGTGCAAAAGGTAAAATAAAAAAAAAATTACAAGCTCAGCCACAAAGCTTCCTGGGTGATCTTAGAAACCACAGGCAGCTGCTAAACATGGGAATCAAATCTCCGGTCCATTTAGCTCATTACTGTCTGCACTGAATGGAAGCAGCTCTCCAGAATTTGACAGGGTTCATTCCTGCCCTACGTGGGACTTTTTGCATGCAAAGCATGTCGTCTGCCATTCTCTTACATAAAGGACTGAGAATGTCAGAACAGAGCCCACAAGGAGGAAAGCTCTGTAAAACCTGTCAGAACAAGTACTTCTGAGGGCAGACAGCAGGAATGCCACCTCAGCACTTCCCTCAGCAGAAACAATGGCAAGAAAGGGCCAATCTTAGTGCCAAATCAGAGAGGCTAACCTATGCCAGCCCTGATCAGCTGCCTTCTTCTCTATCTCCCCCTCCCTATCCTGGCTGCAGAAGGCTGAACTAGCAGGTGGCAAGTTCCTCTAAGCTGCCAACCCTAAACTGCAGGTCAAAAGTGCCACCTGAAGAGGTGGGACCTTAATTCGGTCTCATGATTCGGCTGCCACTGTGGAAAAAAAGTTGTTCTTGCCTGTGACCTGGAAATGGCACAATTGCAAACCTCTGCGGAACATGGGAATCAGATGACATTAAAAGCTCTTAAAAAATAAATAAATCACAACTTATTGGGCCAATCAACACATCATTTGAAAACAAAAAGCAAAACACTATTCAGTATCTCCTATTCTGTTGGGCTAGCCAAACTGCAAGACTTGGATCTTCAAGCTCACTGCTCAATGTTGCGGCACATTTTCCGGCGCACTGGGCAACACCCAGAATGTCTATTCATGAGGGGCTCTGTTCCTCTCAAGCGGCAGAGAGTCTCTTATGTAAAAGTCCAAAATTGCAAATCCACGATCCTATTGGAGGAGGGGAAAATATGTTACATATGTACAATATTCTCAAAAGACCTGCGGCAGTCCTCACTTTTTGCAAGGGGATGCCCCACCGCATGTTCCTTTGGACACGTGGGGTGGGGAGGCGCTGGGTAGAGCCTTCCCTTGTGTTGCCAGCATGCTTCACGTGTAGTTTCCACGGGTTCCAAACCACGCGGGTGCCGTTCAGACGTTGCTGTGGGCGCCCCCGTCGTGGGCTTCCTCGCAATTCAGGGGCACACGCGAGCAGGTCGCGCCGACAAGAGTTCCATTCAAGTACCAGGCGCGCAGCTCCCTTCCCACGTGCCGGTTCTTAAAATGTCCTAGGCGATTCACGTTGTGGCTTTGCCCGCCTGCCCAGCCAAGGCCGGCTTCCCTCCTCGGCTTCACAAGTACCTTTCCAGGCCGGAGTGGAAATTGGGCTGCCTCATGTATGAGTTGTTGGCGGCGCCTCCGAACTGCCCCAGCCCGTTGAGCTGCGAGGCCGCCAAGCCCAAAAGCTGCTCGGCGTGGTCGGCGCAAGAAGAGGCGGCGGGCCGCCCGGGCTGCAGGGCCAGCCTGTTGGGGGCGCCGTAGAGCTGCGCGCTGGGAGGCGAATAGGCGCCGGGCGGCAAGGCCAGGTGGGCGGGCGGCGAGGTCGAGTACGGGTAGGCCATGGCCGGGGGCTGCCGGCCCAGGAAGCCGGGGCTGACCTGCTGCGTCTGGAAGCAGGCTTCGGCATTGCTCCCGGGGCAGCTGCCCAGGTCCCCGGCGCCGTTGAGGCCCAAGGGGTGGTGAGCCAGCTCGGGCCCCACCGGGGAGCCTTGCAGGGCCGCCGCCGCGGCTGCTTGCTGCTGCTGCTGCTGCTGCTGCTGGGAGCTAATGAGGCTGTCGATGCTGAACATCCGCGGCGGCAGCGCCGGGGGCGCCCCCGGGTACTGCGGCAGGCCGGGCAGCTGCGCGCTGTAGGCGGCGGCGCCGCCGGGGGAGTAGAGGGCGCCCCCGCCGCCCGGGTAAGCGGCGCCTCCGGAGCCTCCGCAGCCGGGCCCCGCTCGGGCCACGGGGCCCGGGTTGGGGGTGAAGGCGCTGGCGCTGTGCACGTAGCCCGGGTAGGTGGTGAGGTCGGTGCGCTTGAAGCGCTTCCTGCGCCGGAGGAAGCTGCCGTTGTCGAACATGTCCTCGGCGGCCGGGTCCAGCGTCCAGTAGTTTCCCTTGCCCGGGTGGCCCGGCTCGCGGGGGATCTTGACGAAGCAGTCGTTGAGGGTCAGGTTGTGGCGGATGGAGTTCTGCCACTTCTTGGGGTTCTCCCGGTAGAAAGGGAAGCGCTCCGTGATGAACTTGTAGATGCCGCCCAGCGTCAGCCGCCGATCGGGCGCGTTGGCGATGGCCATGGCGATCAGCGCGATGTAGGAATACGGCGGCTTGCCGCGCTGCACCGGGCGCTTCCTCCGACGGCCGCCGCCGCCTCCCGCGCCACCACCTGCGCCAGGGCCAGGTGGCTGCTCCTCCACCGGCTGCTCCGCTGCTCTCTCTGCCGGGCTGCCTCTGGGCTCCGCTTTGATGAGCAGCGGTTCCACTTTGCAGCCCGACGGGGAGGCCCTCTGCAAAGTGGGGGAGCCCGGGCTAGCTCCCTGACTAGGCGAGTGGAGGGAGTCCGCTGTCATGGTGCATATACCCGAGAAAAAGGAGAAGCCGGCCAGGTTCATATACAAGGAAATCTCCCGGGAGGGAAAGGCAGATGAAACAGCACAGCTCCCTCGGGGACCAGGTATTGGACGGGCGACCTGCTTTATATAGATCAGGCCTGGCGCCACCCTGGTGCGATCCCCTCAATGGCTCGGCTATTGCCCACCCACCTGAACGCTCCCCCTCCTCACTCGCATGCATTCTCTCTCTCCCTTCTCTCTCTCTCTCTCTCTCTCTCTCTCTTTCACACACACACACACACACACACACACACACACAGCTGTCAGAAAACAGCGTTCCACAAGCCAGTGCCAGCATTTCGTATGTGAAAAACTAAACCGGGGTTCCTTTCTTCGTCTGCACCAGGTAGAGAGGAGGTAAAGGAGGATTTCGTTTCCAGCCCACGGTGTAGCGGGATCCTATGCGTGCTAACTCAGAAGTGGGTCGCACCACGTTCAAGGGGACTTTTACTGCAAGGAAGCACGGCTGGATTATAGGATTGTAGCCTTAGCCCGTAGCAACTACGACGAGGGGATTTCTTTTCAGTAAGACATGTGCGGACTGCACCGTCTCCTTTTCGGCTTGGAGACGGGCTGATACGTCGAAGAACTACTAGGAATTCTCCGAGGCGACTCCGGAACAGCAACTGGCTCCTAAGGGCAAGACTGTCCCTGCACGTCAAGAGAACTTACTTGGAAGGAAGTGTGCTTTGCAGATGCTTTAGCCAACGGGATGTAGGAAGACAGACGCGCAGGAGAACTTCCCGTTGAATAATGCCAATGGGCAGAAACAAATCTCATGGGATTCGGTGGGATTCGCTTTTGTTTCAGAGCCGGTTGCCAGGGGAGTTCTGGTTCTCTGCTCGTCCACACATTCAATTAGAGCGCGTATATCATTCTTTTGCGATGTACATACAGACTTCTCTCATACACGCCAGAAATGTTTGAAGGATGAGATGGGAAAGGGTGACATTATGATAAGCTTTTCTTAAGCAACACGCGGAGTTGTTCCAGCTGCCTCCAAATTACTTAGCACACCCTCTAACTCCTAGATCAAGGGACGGAGATCCTCCTTAAAACGAAAACAGAATGTATTCAACTCGACAGGCTTGCCAAGGAGATTCAGGATAAGGGAGGGGCGTGGAGGAAAATAGGCAAAAGGAAAACCGCGATTTTATTTTTTCCTATTGTGTTGGATTATGAACACGTTTTCAAAGTTCCCTTATGCCATGGCTTCGTTTTCCTTTGCGAGTATAGCAGGGGTGTGCTCGTTTTCTCAGTGCTACACATTTAGGCAGGAGCTTCCTCCTTCCGACCCAAGTCCTCCCCACCTGATGTCCTCAGTTAGCAAGTACATGGTACACCTGACTGTAGTGTAGGGAATTCCGTGAATTCAAGGCACGCCTTCCTCTTTTTGCCCCTTCATATGGCGAAAGGAGAGGGTTGGGGGCATCGTCAGTAGCTGTCACCGCATCAAAACTGGGCTCGATTTTCCTGCTTATTTGAACTGGTTTGTTTGAACTGGTTGGAGATCATTATCTACTATCAGCATCGTTTCCAGTCCGCTCCATCACCCACCCGGTTTTAACATGCATCCCCATGTTCTGACATACTCAGTATCTTGCTCGCTATTATGTAATAGCTGGTCCTGATATGGGTGTTGGCCTAATGTGGATCTAGGTCATAGGAGCCAACTCATAGGGGCCGTGGGGGTTTCCGCCCCACAATAAAATATTTGAGGAGGCCGGGGCCCCCAAAATTGATGGGCATTCCCATTCAAATGGTGTGCGTGCACCGCGTTATGTGATCGGTTATGCGGGGCGGGGCTTACCTGGGCGCCCACAATATTTTATTCAAGTTGGCACCTCTGATCTGGGCCCTCCTGCGCTCCCCGCGTCCAGCCCGCTCCCGTGGGCCAACGGAGGCTGCTTTCAATTTTTTATCTATAGGGAACCATTACTTGTTCTTGGTCTAGTCTCTCCTGCCCTCTTGAGTTTCCCAGAATTGTCCGGTACCAAATCAAATATCACAAAACTGATGTACGTATGCCTAAAATTCTCTAACTAGGATTGACTTAATAGTCCTAAACTCCCAACGGTATCTCGGTGCCTGTTGGTAGTACATCTCGGTCTTCTCAGTGATTCGTTTAGGATTGGGCTGTTCTGTGAATAGTCCAACCCCGACCTTGTGCGCTCGAAACCAAGCCCCACTTCTCCTCCCTCCCCCAGAGGGGCTTCCTTGCAAGGAAGTATGCTAAAATGGCCATCCTAGACCCATTTGTAATAGCACAAGGCTGCAACCGGAGAGCCACTTCTTTGGGAGTTAAGCCCCATTTGATTCAACAGGTGACTTATTCTAGGACTGCGCAGTCAGTTCCAGTCCTGCGTACGATAGAGCTGCGCAGATTTTGTTTTACGACCCACTGGAGGTTTCCCTATTTCAGCGCTGCTGAAGTCAATTGGGAGCTGTCCAGAGGTGCGCAATTCCCCTTCAGATCAAAGATTTGCTCAGGAGAGCTTCCTAGCTGCTTACACACCGAGGCTGTAAATTCTATGGACAAGCGTTCGCGAGCAATTCGACTTCTCATTTGCAACGCATACTTGCAGTGCGAATCGAGGAGAACTGTATTTGCAACCGCTGGAATCCCATAGGATGGCAGCCTTAAGGGGCGGAATAGGTAACAGCCAGCTCCTTTGCGAAGCGCGAACGGCCGATGTTAGAGCCAACACGAGACCGCGGAGATACAAGAGGCGGCGGCGGGTGGGGGGGGGTGTCAGCAAGGAACCCTCACATTCAACAGCAACATCGAAACAGTCCACGCGCAATAGTACCCCGAAAACGGGCTTGGCTGGCTAGTTAGAATCCAGAACAGAAACATTTTGTACAGCTGCGCTGCAACATATTGCTGCAGGTTAAGTCTAGTAGTTAGTGTGTCAGACTGGGACTTGAGAGAGCAGGGTTCACATCTCCATTCCTCCACGAAGCTCACTGAGTGACCTTGGGCCAGTCCCTGCCTCTTAGTTTAACCGACCTCGCAGGGGTGTTGCGGGGATTAAATGAGGAGGGGGAGAAGAGCTCCTTGGAGAAAAAAGTGGGATACGAATGCAATAAATAATAAAATAAATAATCTACCTACGCACCTGCTTATCTACCTTTTCTCAAAGCGTTCAAAACACCTCCCACTGCTTCTTTAATGCTGGTTTACTTTTGTTTTTAACTTTTGCAAACGAGGGTGCTTAGTTAGGACACACAGAGAGATCCTGCACGGTGCAAAACTGAAATTATTTGGGAGCTGTTTACTAAGTTAGTTCGGGGTCGGGGGAGGTAAGTGATGGTCATTTCACTGCTCCAGAGAGGAGAAACGCCGCCACCAGGCGCGCTTAAACCTGCCCCACCACACTAAACCCGTCCCTTTCAGAAGTAAACGCCGCGGATTTCAACTGAAATGACTCCCCGGAGCGTAATTTGCTGCTCGGGGTTTCGAATCCTAGACTGTAGCTGCAATCCTACTAGAGAAAGTCCCATGGAACCCAATGTGCAGGATTCCTTTGAGCGGGTTTCGGATGCGCAGGTCCCTAAACTGCTGCTCCAATGAGCAACAAGACTTCGACCTGAGCGACAGCCCCACATTGATCGGGACGATTGTGGATTGGAGAAGGTCCTCGGCGCTGCAAATGTTACTGTAAGAAGCATCCAGGCTTCTTGAAGCTGCAACCGTGTGCAGACTTCCCTGTGAGTAAGCCCGCCGAATTCAGTGGGACTTCTTTCTGAAGAAACTATTTGGAGGCTGAGCTGCAGCACAGAGCGCTGCAATGCTGTTCAATGTCAGGAAACCAGGCGAGGGAACCCGGTCCCGTTGCTCCTTCTTGAACCATTCCTCACTTTGCCAGTGGTCGGACTTCTGTGTAATATCATGAAAGCGGGCAGGGGAGCCAAGGTGAATAAAATATTGGGGGAACCCAGGTAAGCCCCTCCCTGCCTAATCTATCACAAGACGCGGCATTTGTACACCATATGAATGGCAATGCCCATCAACTTGCTGGGAGGCTGGCCCCTTCAAATATTTTTTTTTGGGGGGGCGAAGGGACCTCAGCCCCTAGGAATCGGTCCTATGAAAGAGGGAAAGGCACGATAGTTTAGATCAGGAGTGGGATTTTTTTTGCAGCCGGAGAGACCCATTACAGTGGTACCTCGGGTTACATAAACTTCAGGTTACATACACTTCAGGTTACAGACTCCGCTAACCCAGAAATAGTGCTTCAGGTTAAGAACTTTGCTTCAGGATAAGAACAGAAATCGTGCTCTGGCGGCGCAGCAGCAGGAGGCTCCATTAACTAAAGTGGTGCTTCAGGTTAAGAACAGTTTCAGGTTAAGAACAGACCTCCGGAACGAATTAAGTACTTAACCCGAGGTACCTTTGTACTTTCTGGGGATCACGTCATACCAGTGATGATGCCTGATGCAAAGGCAGGTGGAGCAATGAATGTCAATATTACCTTTGTACAATAGGCTAGTAAGTTTCATACCCACGCTGGCGTCTTCATCGTCTGTGGCTCCAACAATGACTTTTCGGGGATGGGCCAGTAGAACCACACGCACTACTCCAGATGTGACTGAGTGTATAACAGTGTTGTTGTGATAAATGCACTTTAATTTGAAATAAATCTCCGAAGTAATTCCGTTTCTCGTTTCTCACCCCATATTTGCCATCGTGCCAACTGCAGCAAACAGTTTCCGAAGTGATTGCCAGTTGGCAACCCCCGTTGCGCATCGCCTTCCACTTCCTCAGAGACGAGTTGGAAAGGAGCTCCTTCGGGGCATCCCGGCTGATACGCCTGAGCTGTGAGCACACATTTATTTTAGGACGTAAGGAAAAGCTTCCATTCGGCAGACGATTTTATTTAGACTTCCACTCATGCACAGAAAGCATGGCAATCGTAATGTAAGGCACCTGCTTTAACTTCCGCGTACGGGCGCGAAGCAGCAGGGGTTGCCGACCCTCCGGAGTTTGCTGAACTACAACTCCCATCATTCCTGACCACTGACCATGCTGGCTGGGGCTGATGGGAGTTGTTTCGTTTCCAAGGCTATTCCAAGTCCTCAGGCCACAACAGCTGGCTTCCATCCAGCAAAATAAGGAC